TCCGAAACATACGCCAAAATTAATTCTAAACACACCCCCAAACACTCATAAACACACTCCGAAACATACGCCAAAATTAATTCTAAACACATCCCCAAACACTCATAAACACACTCCGAAACATACGCCGAAAGTACTTCTAAACACATCCCCAAACATTCATAAACACACTCCGAAACATACGCCTTAACACACTCCCAAACACACGTCTAAAAAAAGTTCCAAACAGAATTTTAAACACAACATCAAACACAAACCCAAACACACCCAAACACACTCACAAACACAACACAATCACCACAGATATCGGCTGTGTGAGAGGTTAACGCCATAGTAACAAGCAATGTATCGTTCAACCAATTGATTGTGGGTTGAAATTAGCCGTTTGGGTAGGGTCAGGGGGCAAGAGCCACATTTGGACATAATGGCGCACAAGTCTAGCTATGACTCCTTTCTTCCCCAAATACATAAAACTAAATCCATTTTGGTTCTGGGGCCCCTGGGGTATGCTTTTTGCTGAAGCTCAGTTTTGACTTTAGAAACCAGACAAATACCATAGAAAGATAATATTCTTGTTCAATGATAAACATCAATTGCATTTTCTTTGTTAAGAGTTTAAGGAAAGATACCGCTACTATCACTTTAAAAAATAGAGTATCGATTTTTTTTTTCATTGTTATCTAATCTAAACTCACCATTCCTACAAATGACTACATTTAAACGTGAACTCTACTTTAAAGACTTTGACTGAATTGATAGTTACAAAATATTTAGAATCGAATGATGTTGCACTAATAGGTACTTTTTTTTTAAATGGCTTACTTGAATGCTTGCTTTGTCTAGTAACTTTAGGACAGGTGTTGATCAACCTTTTTTTTTTCCGCCAAGGGATATTCGGATATTTATAGCGTCATTCGCGGGCGTTAATATCAGGAACGGCACCCTTCGTACAAAAAATGTTAAAGTATTTTTAAAAATAAATTTTCATCACCTCTTTCTCATTTATAAATTTGTTAGCGAATGGATATTTGAATTTTAAACTTTAATGTAATTTTTTGTTTTGTTTTAATCATACGAGATTTTATTGGTGTTCTATTTGTTATTTCAGAAAATTAGCACCTGTAGATACCAGTTCATGAATTCATAAAATACAATTTTTGATTCGTGAAAAATTCCCGAATTTAATTTTTATTTAAACTCAATCTGTTTAAAACGTAAAACGTATCAAAATGGTGGCAGCACAAACAAGAACAACTCATTAGATGCACTCATGGAAAAAAACCACAAAAAAAACCACACACACAGTACATCTTTGTTGTAAGAATAAATCGGTAATTTATTGTTATATTTATAATAAAATGTCAAACTGATTGTTTTCATATAGGAGAAAAGGAAAATTGAATACAATTCTTAAATAAATAAGTAGTTTAAAATTTAGAAAACGTATAGAATATTTTTTCAAATACACATACTGGACTAAAACTTGTTAAATTTCGTTTGAATCGAAATTTCAAACCAAACAGCACAACCCTAAATAAAAATGAAAACCTTAAATCAATAAATTTGTGGGTATATTATTTCACATAAATCCCTTTACGACCTCATTTTTGAAATTTTGAGATTGAGGTCCCAAGGATTTGGAACCAAGGCTCTAGTCCAGCGGTTCTCAATCTGTGGGTCGCGACCCCTTTGGGAATCGCGGGACCCTTTTCCAGGGGTCACCTAAGACCATCTGAAAACCTTACAGGGTCGCGGCAATAGAAAGGTTGAGAACCACTGCTCTAGTCATTTCATTGTTATGACATGTTCATAGTCCAAACTACCTAAAATATGGGTCATTGCTAAGAGATAGCACCGTGACGTCATTTACGCGTTTTGTTAATTTGCTGTTTTTAATTCAATCCCTTGATTTTCTTGTTAATAGAGTAACATTTTCATAAATATGTCGATAGAATGTTTTAATTACATTTTTATCGGTTGATTAAATATAGTTTTAACATTTCATTGGTTGGCTAATTATAATATTTTATGTGTTCGGCCATATTTGACACTGACACGAATTGGATGCACTGTATTTTATTCATTTTTTGGATATTATTTTTGGTGTAACATGAAATAAAGTGTGTAAAAGTGTATTCTATGAAACTGTAATTTGGGTTTTCATTACTTCTTTATTTTATAATTAGTTTTGGCCATTTTTTTTATTTTCTACATTTTCCTAGTTTTCTTGCCACATTGTGTTAATTCCACATGATTTGACTTGCGGCTTTAGGGCTAGTTTTAGGATCTAGGTTAGGTTTAAGGGTCGATTAAGGGAGTTCAGGTAAGGATCAATACCAAGGTTAGGGATAGAGTCAAGACCCACGTTAGGGATAGATTTAGGGTTTATGTTAGGTTTGGGGATATGTTTAGGGTTCAGGATAGGTTCAGGGATACATTTGGGAAATCTTTTCATTAATGTTTAACGTTTTATTCCAAATTTTAGCAAACGTGGGTCGTTTTATATGTCCCCGGCCGCCATCTTGGTTGCCGTGACCCATGATACCCGTCAAAGGTCTCGGGTCACGGCAACCAAGCTGGCGGCCACGTGATACGCCATGGTGCCATCTCTTTGCATTTACCGATATATGTAATGTTCTTAAAATATTATTACATAATATATGAATATATGCTAACTTATTATGATATCGTACATGAATATATGTTAATAATTCCATGTGAACCTCATTGCATGTAAATTGACTTGGACAGCTGCCGACACAAATACATTTTGACATCTAACTAACAAATAGACTTAGATAGCTGCCTACTCGAGTAGATTTGTACAGCTGCGTACACGAATATACTCAGCAGCCTACACAAATAGACTCTTTCACATGTGTACACTAATAGACTTAGACAGTGGAGTACTCAAATGGACTTGGACAGTTGCGTACACAAATAGACTTGGACAGCCTCGTACACTAATATACTTGGACAGCTGTCTACACAAATAGATTTGGATAGTTTCGTACATAAATAGACTTGTACAGCTGCGTACACAAATATACTATTAGCACCTGCGTACATAAATAAACTTGTACAGCTTCACTAATAGACATGAACAGCAATAGACATGAACAGCAATAGACATGAACAGCAATAGACATGAACAGCAATAGACATGAACAGCGAGGTACTAAAAAAAAACTTGGACAGATGCATACACTCAGATTTGAAAAGTTGCGTACACAAATAAACTTGGACACCCGCGTACGCTAATAGAACGGTTCACAACAACGTATTGAAAACTAAAAATAATTGTCAAATTTGACTAGTTGGATTTAACAATTTTCTTTTCAACTGATAATCTGAATATTTTCATAGTATTTTCAGGAAAAATAAAGCATTAAAAGGAATTGGAAATGAACCAGTCCGGGTTACTGTTCCTTGTGATTGCTATAATGCACAGTCGACATGGTAAGTGAAATATAAGGAGACAATATGTCGACAGGCAAATACATATATTTATATGCACTCTGAATGTATGCATTTCTGAAATTAAATAAAAATTACAGATTTATCAAATAAAATAATACATCATTACTTGTAGACATGGCTGCCTAATGGATGACTGAGAAGTGGTATCATAATGGTTTACAAAGTGATGTCATAATGAGTGACTGACAAGTGGTGTCATTATGAGTGACTGACAAGTGGTGTCATAATGAGTGACTGAAAAGTGGTGTCATAATGAGTGACTGAAAGTGGTGTCATAATGATTGACTGACAAATGGTGTCATAATGAGTGACTGACAAGTGGTGTCATAATGAGTGACTGACAAGTGGTGTCATATTGAGTGACTGACAAGTGTTGTCATAATGAGTGACTGACAAGTGGTGTCATAATGAGTGACTGACAAGTGTTGTCATAATGAGTGACTGACAAGTGTTGTCATAATGAGTGACTGACAAGTGGTGTATTTTATTTTACGATATTTCATTGGTTTAATTTAAAATCCTCAACTTCGCTTCTGTTTATGGTTTCCTGGCAAAATCTACAACGGCTAGTTTACCCACTTCCCTTCAACCTATTTAGCTGAAACTTGGCACACAGACTTGTTGCCAAAGTCAACACCTTCTTTCCAATTTTTAGCCCCCCCCCCATTCCCCCCCCCCCCCCCAAAAAAATAAATAAATAAATAATAAAATAAATCAGTTTTTCCTTTTTTTTTTTTAAAGGGGAAAATAAAGGAAATATAATGCCCCTGATTTGAACACTGTCAATTCCCCCTTAATGCGCTAGATGAGATTCTTAGAAAACATGCACGAACAAGGTTTCTCTCTGCTCTGACTACAAATTTGCAGTCAGTTGGCATTTGTTCAAGATTGGTTCTGAACACCAGAATTTCGTTGTGTGATAGCTCTGTTGGAAATTACTTTGATACAGCTCATTGGATAAAAAAAAAATAACGAATTTAAGGCCCCCACCCCAAAGGAATATTTTTTAAAAGGTTGCACAGATTCAGAAACCTACTAAATTATGTCACACATAAACAGAACTGTCACTGTTTGTGTTTGATTAAATTCCACACCAACCATGCAAAGGCTCCGTTTGAAGTTATATGCTTGATATGACATTTTATTATGGATTCATAGGGACACCTTTGGTTTTAAGGGTTGTTTCATTAAAACATTATGATACTCAAGTTACAAATTTAGATTACGAAATGATTAATAAAATTTAGAATGCAAAGTTTTAGCTTATTCAAAAACAATCAAAATATACTTATTAAAAAAAAACCTAGTTAAAATAAATTATAAACAAAACAAGTATGTAGTGTCCGGCTCAACCATTATGTGCCCACCATCAATGTGGGCTTTCGACTTTGCCGTGTGTTGCCACACTCATGACTCTCCGAGTATTTCGCTACAAATTACCCTTGTTATGTTCATAGATTGATACAGTATTATCGCCATCAACTTTCTTTAAATAGTCTTAACTTTCTATTGCATCACACAGAGATAAATGGTGTGAAAATCGTATTGGATGGATTTGAGCCGAAGATTCCGAACAACCGGACATGTGTTTCTGGCTTTGAAGTCACTGGTCAGATGACCCTGGACGAGGGAGAAACTTTGGACAATCTGCCGCCCCACATCATAGTTCAATTTAAATGTCCATATTACCCAAGTAAGGAACGTGTGCATAAGAGTGGACCAAAAGATGGAAGCTGGTTTGAGGTAAATTTAAAAAAAATGAATTGACATTTGTTTGTTAAAGAAATTAATAAATTAAACTTAAGTATTCATATGCGAAATGTAAACAACCTAACATGGTAAAACTCATATTTAACAAAATTATTTCAAATGATCTATACACCAATATTCACTATTGTAATGTTTGTGTTTTTTTTGTTTCGAGGAAATTGATGCGACGGTATTGACGTCAAATGAAATAAAAGATAAACTTTTAAAAAGCATTTATGTTAACCTCAAAATTGTTCGCGTGTTTCTTTCTTTATGTCTTGGTGTGTAGCAAAACTTTGGACGGCTACTTGATCCACTTCCCATCAACATATCGCGCTGAAACTTGCGCATAGACTCGTTGCCAATGACAAAGCATTCTATAAATTTTCAGTCCCACCACAAACCCACCACCGAAAAATAATAAATCAATCTTTTATTTCATGTTTTTCATAAGCAAGGTGAATGGAAAAATGATGTTACTGATTTCATGAAATAAATGTTCAGATAACTGCGCTAAATAAGATTATTAGAAAGATATGGCATTTGCGTTTGGGGGTGTAATGTTTTCTTTTGCTTTTCTGAAAGTATTGTTGAAATCAATAAACATTAGAATAATAATATAAAATAGAATAATAAAATTCATAAAAATGATTTATTCGAACAATTTTGTGTTAAGGTTTATCATAAGGCACACCCACGAACACAAAGATATATGTACCACACACGTTAAATGTAAAAATTAGACTATGCTAATCATGTACGAATAGAAGTTGCTTATAAAAATTTAACAGTAGCCATTTATAGATGATAGTAAATAATTGTCAATCTCTTTGTATACAATATCTGAACTCTCGCCCTCAGGTGAATACTTAAAGTAATTCTTTAATCTTTATATGACGAGTTATTTCTAAAGTTTAATTATGCATACGTATTATTAAAGATTACACATCTGGATAAAGCACTTCATTTTTCTTTTCAATTTAAAAAAAATAGTTCATTCTGTGTATTTATAGAAAAGAGTTAGAGGATTTTAAATTAAGTTTCATACCAAAGTGAAATCTATAAAATAAAAGAGTGTGTAGAAACTGATATTAAAAGGTACTCACCTCCCCTAAATTTTTTAAAAACCAAATGGACAACGCCCTTGAAAAGTAAAAAGATAAAATGTAAACTAAGTAGTTCCAACATTTATTTAGATTTTAAAAAATTGATTAATCAACATTTAAAAAGAAACAAAAACTAGATTAAATTCCATTTTTTCAAAAATAAAGTTTGCGGAATGACTTATAGAATGTTAAATATATTCTGCTGTGTTAAACAACATTAAGCGATTTAAAATCAAGCTTTCATATTAATTTTATAATAAATTGAAGAAAACGAAGTTTGTAGTTTTTTCAAGTTGTTTAAATCACAAAAATTAATGCTAGGGATTCCCCGGTTATTTGATCTCTTCACAATTCTTTAGATTTAATCATGAGACAATAAGTACGGCAATGTCATGGTTGCTTAAAGTTATATCATACCGGTATACATTTAAATAGTTTAAAAATATACATTAGTTTTGTTTGATTTATTTAATGTACGCTAATAAATGTTTAAAGTTATTGATTAGTTGTTTTTTTTTTTTAAATTGTACGTACAGCGTGGTGAGCCCAGCCATTTGGACAAAATGTAATCTCAAATTGAGACAAACTACCATTTTAAAATCATATTGGCTTTTAGCACTGAGCGTCTACATTTTGTTTTACAGAAAGCTTAAATGTACAACGACTTTACTTTTCGCAAAATAAAAACATACATAGTCTATATATTTTCATTAAAAAATAAAAAAAATAAAATCTTAACCCATCTCTATTAAAAAACAAAACAAAGAAACTTTCACCTGTGTAAATGATTGGTTGTTTTATTTTCATGGCTACCCTCATGCACGTTTTGCTAACCCCGTTATTTTTTAAAATTTTGTTAACATATGTATTAAATCGTGTGCTATTGAAATCAGCGTTACAGGGTCTCATTAGCCTATTCTTTTTGAATATATATATATATATATATATNCTACAGGAGAGAGTTTTCAGCGGCTAGTTAATCGTCTCTGTCACATGGAAAGTGTTGGGAATGACCGTTAATCTACAGAGAACAAATGTCATGATAAAAGAAGAATCCTCCCAGCCCACCCACCCCCCAAAAAAAAAACAATAAACATATTGAGGGCCATAATCTTTTGGTAGTTGAGAATTCCAAATACCTTTGATCAAATATTTCTAGATAACTCTCGCACAAAAGCAGCTGCAACGATGGCTAAACTGAATAAGCGAGTGTGGAATACTCTTAAACTCAGTGACAATACTAAACTAAATGTCTATCAAGCATATGTGCTCAGTACTCTCCTACAAGGCCGGGAAATATTGGCCACATATGCTTGTCAGAAGCGGAAACAGAGCAGCTTCGGACAAATATGTCTGCGTTGCATTTTTGCTATTGTGATGGCAGGACAGGGTGCCTAACACAGAGGTTTTGGAACGAGCCAAAATATGTTGCATGTTCTATTCTCTTAACAAGAGGCGCCTTCGCTGGTTAGCCATGTAAGGAGAGTGGAGGAAGGCCGTATTCCAAAGGATTTGATGTATGGAGATTTGGCAGAACGGGCAAGACTTATTGGACGGCGCAGCTGAGATTTAATGAGGTTTGCAAAAGGAGCGCGAGGGAAGCCAATACACAAATCAACGAATGGGAGACAATCGCTGAGAACCGTTCCATCTGGCATGCGAGAAACGAAGCCCTAGCAACAAAAAAGAGCATTACGGAAGGTCAAATTTAACAAGTGGTCAAGGTTTTCCAATTCAGGTAAGACTGACATTCCAGTATCGGCCTGGTAAGTCATTTGATAAAGTATCAAAAGCTACTCCACCGTCTAGTAAAGAAGGAAGAATGTTATATATATATATATATATATATATATATATATATATATATATATATATATATATATATATAATATATATACAAATCTCCCACCTCCATTCAAAGACCAAGATAAAATAGGTGCTGATTCGTGAACTGCTGTTCGCTGACGATGATGCCTAAACATCGCACTACAGGAGAGAGTTTTCAGCGGCTAGTTAATCGTCTCTGTCACATGGAAAGTGTTGGGAATGACCGTTAATCTACAGAGAACAAATGTCATGATAAAAGAAGAATCCTCCCAGCCCACCCACCCCCCAAGAAAAAAACAATAAACATATTGAGGGCCATAATCTTTTGGTAGTTGAGAATTCCAAATACCTTTGATCAAATATTTCTAGATAACTCTCGCACAAAAGCAGCTGCAACGATTGCTATATATATATATATATATATATATATATATATATATATATATATATATATATATATATATATATATATAATATGTTAATGACCAAAAACTATTTTAGACAGATATCTTCCAGTTTGTAATTGCGCGCTGAGAGCTTTGAGTCAGAGATTAGACGGCATCTTCTGATATACTTTTTTTATTATTTCATTCTCTAACACAATTAAAATTATGTCTATAATCATAAAATAATTATCTAAAAATGAACATTTCTTGCCCTAAAACCTGTCAGTGTAAGCCATTAAAACCTGTCAGTGTAAGCAACTAAAACTTGTCAGTGTAAGCCATTAAAACTTGTCGGTGTAAGCCATTAAAACTTGTCAGTGTAAGCAATTAAAACCTGTCAGTGTAAGCCACTAAAACTTGTCAGTGTAAGCCATTAAAACCTGTCAGTGTCCGCCATTAAAACCTGTCAGTGTCAGCCACTAAAACCTGTCAGTGTCAGCCACTAAAACTTGCCAGTGTCAGCCACTAAAACCTGTCAGTGTCAGCCACTAAAACCTGTCAGTGTCAGCCACTAAAACCTGTCAGTGTCAGCCACTAAAACCTGTCAGTAAGACACTAAAACCTGTCAGTAAGCCACTAAAACCTGTCAGTGTCATCCATTAAAACCTGTCAGTGTCAGCCACTAAAACCTGTCAGTGTCAGCCACTCGTACATTGTTTAGTCCCTTGGCGATCAGTGTTCAGTTCCATGAAGTTGATGTATGTTTCTTTTCAGGACCACGGAGCACCACTGAACAGCTGCGCGCCACTTGAAGGGACCATTGCTAACGATTCGCTTACATTGAAATGTTCGCACAGTGCAGGGAAAACGTATCGAATTACAATCAAGATAGCTTGTTTCTTTTATGTTAAGTACTGTTCTATAAGGCTCTTCTTGGGTGATTTTATAACAAATGAGCATCGCCAGAAAATCGTCCATGATCCTCGACTGGAGGGATTGAGTAATGAGTTTCCCTTCATGGCGTTTATGGGTAAATATCATGACCATGTCTTGATTGCTTTTTTAAAATTAGTTGATATATTTAATGGAAGGATCCTTCTTTTAAGTTTGTAAACATTCATACACTTGACGTTGTAAATGCTATTTTAAATCTGTTTTGATTTCATAATCAGAGTTTATTTAGGTGCCAAGTTTGTTTGTATGGGTTAGGGTGAAGCTATGGAGGATAAGATGAGTTGTATGTATGGGTTAGGGTGAAGCTATGGAGGATAAGATGGGTTGTATGTATTGGCTCGTGTGAAGATCTGGAGGGTAAGATTAATTAAGATAGGTTGTATGTATGGGTTAGTGTCAAGATATGGAGGATAATTTTTATTTTTCATGGGTTAGGATGAAGATATGGAGGATAAGTTAGTTTATTTTTACATGGGTTAGGGTGGAGATATGGAGGATAAGTTAGTTTATTTTTACATGGGTTAGGGTGGAGATATGGAGGATAAGTTAGTTTATTTTTACATGGGTTAGGGTGGAGATATGGAGGATAAGTTAGGTTATTTTTACATGGGTTAGGGTGGAGATATGGAGGATAAGTTAGTTTTTTTTTTTACATGGGTTAGGGTGGAGATATGGAGGATAAGTTCGGTTTGCATGGGTTGAGGTCGAGATATGGAGAGACCAAGTAACCTGGAGAAATTGTTATTTTTAGCTACAGGACGGGAGCAGAATTAATTTTCAATGTGAAAGAAATATATTATTTCTGTAAATTATATAATTATAAATTTGAACAAGATTTTGATATATGTATTTAGTTCTAATTGTTTTGGGGGCAAAGATTTATTGTAACAATAAAATTAAAAAAAAAAAATACAATTCCTATTGTATTAAACGTCATTAAAGAAAACCAAAAACCAGCAAAGCAGGATCGCACGGACATCAACACAAATGCCTCTGCTTGCGTTCTATAGAATGCCTGACTGGACTTAGCCAATGTATATAAAAATACACAAAGAGATGGGAATTTTTATAAGCAAAACTTAACCGAAGAAAGAAACTTATTTTAAGAACGAATACGCTGTCAGAAGTTTTCTAGGTTTTTATTTATTGCAACAGCCTGTGACGGCAGACTGAAATGAATGCATTGATATGTTGATGATTGCCTCTCGTTATAATTCTCGCTGTCAAGTTGGTTGAATTTTTAAAAGAAGTCTCGATGGAAACAAGAGAGTTACGCTTATCTACCACGTCGTTGAAACGCTGTGTACAAGGGAGATAAAAATATCCTTACCACCTTTTAAAGGGTCTACAGTTGAGACAAGGAAGAGCAGGGATAGAAGGAGGGCGTTTTAGATGATTTGGTTTAAAAAACTTGGTTTAGATGACTTGGTTTAATAGACCTAGTTTAGAAGACTTGGTTTACAAGACTTGGTATAGAGGACTTGGCTTAGATGGTTTGCTTAAGAAGACTTGATTTGAAGACTTGGCTTAGAAGAATTGGTTCAAAAGACTGGCGTAAAATACTTTGTTTAGAAGGCGTGGCTTATAATTCATGTTATAGGAAAGCTTGCTTAGAAGACTTATTTTAGAAGACTTGGTTTAGATGACTTGCCTTAGTTAAATGGTCTTACAAGACTAGTTTTAGACAACTTGGCTTAGTAGACCTGGTTTAGAAGACTTGGTTTAGACAACTTGGCTTAGAAGACCTGGTTTAGAAGACTTGGTTTAGACAACTTGGCTTAGAAGATCTGGTTTAGAAGACCTGGTTTAGACAACTTGGCTTAGAAGACCTGGTTTAGAAGACTTGGTTAAGACATCTTGGCTTAGAAGACCTTGTTTAGAAGACTAGGTTTAGAAGACTTTGTTAAGAAGACTTGGATTAGAAGACCTTGTTTAGAAGATTTGGTTTAGAAGACTTGGTTTAGTCAAATTGGCTTGAAAGCAGTCCCTTCATTTATTTATGGCTTAGAAGACCTGGTTTAGAAGACTTGGTTAAGAATCTTGGCTTAGAAGACATTGTTTAGAAGACTTGATTTAGAAGACTTGGTTTAGAAGACCTGGGTTAGAAGACTTGGTTTAGAAGACTTGGTTTAGAAGACTTGTTTTAGAAGACCTGGTTTAGAATACTTGGTTAAGACATCTTGGCGTAGAAGACCTTGTTTAGTAGACTTGATTTAGAAGACCATGCTTAAAAGTCGTCGGCTACGAACAAGACAATACCCATGACAAACATTCTTCTCTCTGAAAGAGCCTTGTGCAGGAAAAAGAGGCACAGTGGAAAAACGTTATTGGCATGTCGTGCGTCATTGTCCCTGAGAGAGCAACTAGCTCAACGCCCAAAAGAAAATGAATAAACATTACCAGTATCACCTGATGACCTGATGTAATCAATTGAATTCATACATTCTTTTATAATTCCCGTTTACTCTCCAAGACGGACAAGTTAGGACATTGTTAACTTTAAAGCAACGGTTAAAAAGAAACAACAAAGTCGTTTGAAATACCCAAGCTTGTTTGACGTCTAACTTATAGTTCTCATTTCTAAAACCTCCTTTTCCTCTTTCATTTATTAAGAAGAACCATACTATAACACAACACACGATGCATACTGCGAAGAGATATTATCTGTACCTAGAAGTAGTAGAGTCTTGGCATCTACGAATGGCGCGTCTGCCACACGCCCTCCAAAAGGTATCTAACCATATTTTTTTCTTGATATATTTTTTCCACATGTATAATTAAAAATACAATGACATTTTCTTCTACCACTCCAGTCGCTCCACAGATGTTGTTGTTTAAGAGCTTTTTGTATGTGGACTGTAATGTTTACCTGAAGTTAAATCAAACCCGTACATTACATTGTGCAATTTGCTGCTTGTTTGTGAGTTAAACTTTTTTTTTATAATAGCCATCGCTTAAAATAAATACATATAGTATATTACATATAAACAAAACGTCTTGTTTATTTTGTTTGTTGTTTGTATGTTGCCTGTTTGTCTTTCTTAACGTTTAGCATAAGTCAAACGGAGTTGAAAGCAATGGCGTGCGCCTTAAATTGCCAGAACGAGATTCGCTTACGTGAGACATTGGTTTAAAAAAAATGTGTATTGGATAACTGATTAAATGATAAATAAGATTATTTGGAAATGTTTACTTTTACACCGGTTTCAAGAAAGGAATGGACGAATGTTTTCCAAACATAATACTCAACAAAGGAATCAGCTTAGACATATAAGAAGTGTGTAAAAGAATTTTAACGTTTGTTAATTTGTTAACCTGGAACACTGCTCTGACCAATAAGTACCCCCATCTCCACATATCCCATTCCCGAACAAATAAACCCAATATGATATGATTAAACTTGTTCACAATTCCCAGACTTTATTTATTCACTTTTTCCCTCTTTATTTTTTTTAGATGCTCTTCTTATGATCTGTGGATTGGCCATTGTCAGTGCAGTTCTCTATGTTTAGAGCACAAAAAAGGAGGTGACGTGGAGCTGAACACCCCCAGATGTCGATAACATCAAAAGTACAACAAATAATTTATGATTTAGTCAATCGGTAAAATTAATTCTATTAAAAACATTTTCAATGATTTTTTTGACCCAAAGATATAATAACAATGTTTCTGTTTCAAACGGATGATTCCAAAAGCTTGATAAATTATATGTTAGATATTGGTTTCTATCATTTGTAGGGAAACAATGATGAACTATATGTTAGATGTCGGTTGCTATCTCTTGTAGTGAAACAATGATACAATATAAATAATATATTAGATATTGGTATATATTGAAAACAATAACTTTCCACACACTGATTAACTTTATTCGAGTATATATAGAGATAAAAATATAATTATTGAATAATAAACACTTTAGATACGGTTGGTGTTATTATGATTGTTGTCAATAAAAATAAAACATCACGCACATTTCAACTATTCCAAGATCCCAGGGTGTGACAGTTTACGATTTAAATTACTAAATGTACAATTTCCATTCATTAAACTAACAATAAAACCATGGTCGTTTCACCGAGGCTTCTATGCAATTATTCGAAAGGTTGGGGGGGGGGGGGGGGGAGAAGAATAATATAAATTCGTCATCAAGTGAGATCTTCGTTAGTTTTTTTTCCCCCCTCACTCATAATCTCTTGTTAGATGATAGGTCTATCAGTTCTTATCTCGGTCAGTTAATATCTCTGTCTGTTATTTTATCCGTCAGTTTTTATCTCTGTCAATTGTTATATCCACATTTGTTATCTCCGTCAAATGTTGTCTCCGTAAGTTGATAGCTCCATTATGTGATGTGTCTATAAGTCAAGTGTCCATCAGTTGTGTTGCCCATCAGTTAAAGTCCCAATCAGATGGGGTGACCATCAGTTTAGGAAATCATAAGTCAAGTTCCCACCAGTGGTGTTGCTCATCAGTTGTGTTTCCCATCAGTTGTGTTTCCCATCAGTTGTGTTGCCCATCAGCTGTGTTGCCCATCAGTTGTGTTGCCCGTCAGTTGTGTTGCCCATCAGTTGTGTTGCCCATCAGTTGTGTTGCCCATCAGCTGTGTTGCCCATCAGCTGTGTTGCCCATCAGCTGTGTTATCCATCAGTTGTGTTGCCCATCAGTTGTGTTGCCCATCAGTTGTGTTGCCCATCAGTTGTGTTGCCCACCTGTTGGAATGTCCCTTCACTTAAATTGAGACATTCAGCTCACTGTCCGTCCACACCGAAACACTATTCTAAAACTATCAACATTCCATTGACCATTACCTACCACAGCACATGCTTGAGATCAATCCTCGCTGTGACACCAAACAATTGCTGATGACTAGCATCACCGTGATTGGGCTTTAGACGCCATGGTTCTATCGAATACTTTTTTCTTAGAGTGAGCAGCGGATGCAATTTTTCTTGAAGAAAATTATATGTACGACAATGTCAGAGCATATTAACATGTACATCAATATTGAAGATAATGAACCTATACAACAATGTCAGGTATAAGGAACATGACTGTAAAACAATGAAAGAGATAATGAACTTATTCAGACTACTTTTTAACATGTCATGTATAATAATCATGTACAACAATGTCAGAGATAATAAACATCTTTGAAGGCGCATAATTAGGATATTTCAATTCTCTTCACATTGTTGTTGTAGTTGAATTTAAGTTCATTTTCGTTCATTGATGTGTTGATTAGTTTTTAAAAATATATTTCGTTGCACTTTCAAAATACTATCGATCGTATCACAGCATTTGTGATCGCATGTCATCGTATGTCATCGTATAATAGCGTATATTGACTTATGTCATCGTATAACAAAGTAGGTTTAGACAAATTTATTACCATTTTAATGATTTTAAGTTTTAAAAAAATGCTTGAATGTTTGTATGTCTTTTTTGCGTGCTATACACCAACACATCGCAGGCGACACACGACTGTGTCTCAACACACAGTTTGGTTAGCACTGCCTTAGGCCAAACAAGGCCAACCTTATTAATCATGTCTAACTATGAAAGTGTCAGCATTACTTACTTTGTTTCTGAGGCCTGTATACACTTTTGATAAGATTATCAGTATACCAGAATTGATAAGTCCCACAAGTTATGTTTGGGGTGGAAAGCACCCCCCCCCCCCCAAACCCCTAAGCTTGAAGGGTCATTAATTTTTCCCACCC